TGTCGGCTGTCACCTATCCTTTGTATCTTATGGTTTTCTCGTCTCCTCGTTTCCCGGATATCCATTTTAAGATCGTCTTCCCATCTAGTCCTAGGACTTCTGAGTGGTTTTCCAACCAAATTGTGTATGCATTTCCCATCTCCGCCACTATCTGCCCTGCCTAACTTATATTTTGTTTATTTTCTTACTGTTTATTTTCAAAAAAAAAACCTCTCACATAAAGATTTCCAACATTTAAAATTCCTAATTTTATACACATTTTCCGTTCCTTACGTCGCCCCAAAGCATCCCTCCTAGTCCTTACCATTTCTTAAAGTGCTGGTTTATATATTGGGGAGCTCTGGCAAAATTGGAGAAGCACCTCTTGTCGGCTGTCCGCGTCATTTGCACTAAGTTAATAACGAGAAATGTGCTATTCTGCACGACCTCAAAGTCTTTTGAACATCCTACAAGCGATGATAACTAAAGAACGGATGAGGTAAGTGGGATGGACATTCAGGTACTGCTATCTGGTGGCCAAAGTGGGAACTATCGAACGTAGACTGAACAGAAAACACGAGGATATTATTATGTGTATGCCAGGACGGCATACACTTTCAGAGCTTGTTCAATAAAGTAAGAACTTCAGTCCATATCTGGAGGCCGTCTCACTGTCCGCAACCTGACGATGCGCCAAGCTATGGTGACAAGCGACCCGACCTGCGCAGATGGAGTTCCGGAAATAAGAGATAGAAGACATGTAGCTGTAGCGAACGAGTGTCGAAGAAACATCAATAATTAAGAAACGGAAACATGATGCATTGCGTAACACAAATATGGCGTACCCAATTCTCCGTGTTTAAAGTCTGTCACTGAATTTTGAAACATTCTGAAACCACAAATCGAACCTCGAACTATCGATAATCGTCCCAGTACGAACGTTAGTTTGAGTCGAAAAATCTGAACGAAAGAGGCCGTTTGTTTGAAAGTCCTAGGCGTATAATGGAGGATAATATTAAAATGGATCTGAGAATGTAAGATGTAACTATAAATTGGCTCATGATTAAAAAAATACAGCAAGGTAGTAAATTTTCGTTTTTTAATGAAAGGATGGGCATTTCTTAACAGCCTATCGAGAAGGATTCTGTGGTTCTGACTTCAAATTATATCAAAAAATAGTGTGGGAAAAAAATTTATACAATAAAACATTCAAAAATGGCTGAGCCATCATAAATAATTTTAACAAACAAAAAAATAAATTTATATTTTGGACGAGATTCTACTACAGTTCTTTCAAGATAACGTCGGGGTTGTCGTTTGAAATAGGCCACGACCGTTTCTGTCCCCCTATTTTCCAGTTGAATCATGCAATCATCTCAATGGACAGATCGAAACAGTTTATTGGTCAGGATTTTAAGCATGTCAGCTCGGAAAAAAATTGTCCGTCTCACAAAATGTTCCCTGCAGAAAAATCCTGGGACTGTACCGTGAATTTCCTTTGCTTAACCAATCCTGCAGGATATTTCAGCGAATTGGTCTCGCTTCTATTGTTCACACCGATCTTTATTTAATACGTTTCTCTTGAATCCTGGCCAGCTACTGAGATAAAAATACATTCGAATGCACAACAAACGTCAAGGAGAGAGAGAAAACAGCTCACGCGAAAATCACTGTAATCAAGATGGCTGCTGTCTTATGCGTTGTTGCGCCGTGTACTGGCGTTTTAAAGGTACTTGCTGCCTCCATCATCGGGGAGCTCGCCTTGGTGATTGACAATATGACAATCGTCTTTATGCATCAGACCTCATATTTACATAAATTCTAACCTCTGAACAGTCGTACCAACATCACGGTTTGACAGTTTAGCAGCAGTCGGTCAATATCTCAGGTTATACAGCGCCAAGTGTCAAACTGTAGAATTAATATTACAGTATGAAACCGCAGTAACGTGGAAACAAAATTCAAATTCATATTTTGATGTGATATTACGACATTTGTCTGGAGTGAATGAGAATATTCCAGTCCGAATAATCGGTAACTCTGAGAAGAAAATTTTAAAAAAAATTGACTTTCGGAATACACGACAGACGTGCCAACAGCTGAACTGTAACACTCAGCATAATTCTTTTACGTTGGAGACTCAAAAGATTTTCCCGCTACAACAAATTTCTCTCTCGCCACCTCAATCCAATCAAACATTACCGCTACTTCCATAACACGTACAACTTGAGGTTTAAATATGACTGTAGTCTAGCCGGAAGGGGGTCCTAGGGTGCCCCCACTGGCACGTCTATTAACAAAAGTGGTATCAGACATAGTCGAAGTAGCCTGAGAGTGCCCGAGTCGTGTCCCTCTATACAAATAAGTCTAAAATGTTATATATCATATGTTCTCAGCAGCGTTATTTGTCATGACAGTCGAGCTGGTAATGTTGCACTGGAATACGCGCTGCTACCTTACCCTGGTCGGCGTCATCCAGACGCTAACGTGTTTCGACGATTGGAGGAGTGTCTCAGTGAAAGAAGAGGTGTAACATCAAAACGCTGAGGATGAGCTCTATTTACACAACATTCTGAAGACAGACGAAGAGTGTGTTACGCGTGAGGGCGTGTTCAACGTCCACAACAGTCACCTCTGGGCACGGGATAATCCTCATGGCATCCACAAACGTGGATATCAAGTTCGCTTCGGCGTCAGCTTTTGGGTAGGAATCGTCGTGGACATTGTTATGGGCCATCTGCTACCTACAGACTGCCTGATTTTATGGAAACTGGTCTACCGGAGCTGTTTGAAGATATTCCTCCAGCTGTAAGGCATTTGTTTCATCTGTACGAAGCCCTATAGCTTTGTCTGCTTTGTTTCAAACACCCATGTTCAAAAAGTTAATTAAACACAAGGAATGTGAGTTAAGATTTTAAAATGTTTACTCTCTATAAACCTATGGATAGAAAAGCGAGTAGTAAATTATTCCTCAGCTAAAATCTCACCCTCATATGATGCAAACATAATCATAACCTCACTTATGAAAACCGAGTCATGACCATAAAAATTACGTTACTTGAGCTAACTTTCATTTCATTCATGCGCTTACAGATGTCAGCACTGTAGTGTCATTTCGAACTCGTGAACAACCTCGAACCCAATGTCCTCCAACAAAACAAGCGACGTCAGCTTTCACTCAGCGCCTGCTGGCGGCAGCTTGCCAGAACTTCGGCTGCCAAAGACAAAACCTGAACACCTGGTCCAATGAGTGACTGTGCACCTGTCCGACTCACATTACATCGAAAATGGTTCGAATACTTCCCCACGACTCTGATTCGGATCTTCAACGATAATTTTATCACAAAATTTCCAAATTATTATTGAACTGCGAAGCTGATAAAACCCTTTAGGTTTAACGAACAATGGAAATTCCTATTCATTTACACAACTCTAAATATTTAAGGAATAATATTACAAGATAACGAATAGGAGCTATATTACGTCTCCCCCCCCCCCAAACGCCTACATGGCGCATAACGGGATAGCTTTACTTTAATACTCCACAATAAGTTCTGTTTCTATTTATAAAGATTTCTTAAAACATCTGCATCTTAATATTTCTCTCACATCTCCCACGTTTTCGAGAAGTCTATAAATAGTGCCCGCTTCTTCGCACGAGTTGAATGCGAGCATAACACAGCAATTTGTAATGTGAGCCAGGCGGGGTTTCGAATCGGTAGCTTCTCCAATGAAAATTCTGAAAACTATTGCTGAACAAAGCAGTCGAGAGCACGCAATTGCGTCGTTTAATCTGATGGATGGAAGAACACACAAACAGTAGATCCCCACCGATTATCCAGGGGCGGATTAACCGGTGTCTATTAATTCAGAAATTCTGTTGTAAAGATTATAACGTTTAAAAATAAAAGGAACAAATACAACAATTATATCATTTAACGTATTAAAATATATCAATTTTTGCTAGAACCTGAAGTTTACGACAGTTGAACACTATTACTATCCGTAGAAATATTTTTTTAAATAGTTGGTATGTACTGTATTGAATTTTATTTAAAAAACTTTTTTTTTAGATCAATATGTACTCTTCAGCAAATTTCTCCAAATTTCATACCTACGTGTACAAGAAGGCGGGTAAAATTTTGGTTATTTAAAGACTTTTTGTAGGAACGAGACAGTCGTCCCCAAATATACAAATTTCGCCATAATTCCACAGCGTTATAATTTTGTCGAGACACGAACATACACTTATAAAAACTTCTACCTAAAGATGGCGGTGATGCGTTATTCCGAAACCTTGGTAAATGTCTATACGACAAGGTATCACAACCCAGAAATACACAACACACATTTACGCAGTTAAAACATTAGCCTGTGATTTGTTTATACCGAAATATAACAAAAGCATCTCCTTTCTTCGGACCTTTATAAATTTTAAATGCAAATAAATATCCGACAGGTGTTTTCCCCCTCGATTTGCTGCAGAATCAGCTGACAACTATGGAATATACCAGGGCAAGTCAGAAAGTTTCTGCAATGATTTATTTTACAGCTTCTTATGTTGGCTGCACTGTCTATTTTGCGTATGTGTGCTGTTTTACGTACAATTCCCGCTACAGATCATCAGCTTGTTGCTTCCATATTTAAATCTCAAATTTTGCTGCTACAGACAAGAGCAATCTAGGCTAGGAAATAATTCTTGCAGAAAACTGCCTGAAATATACAAATCCTTCAGTACCTTTTGTCGGGATCTGCTTCATATCGAAACCAAGATCACTCGTCATTCGTCTCACTAACTCATCAACAATGGAAAGTAGCTTACTTACGGTAGTTACAAAACGCTGATTCACAGATATATCCGCACAGGTTGTCCAACTTTATGAAATAAAAGGTACCTACGTATTCGGGGACTAGGAAAACATTTGGCACGTTGAACCACGACAAAGGCGAAGTGTAGCGTGGATCACGGCAGTTACTACAGGCACGCTGAGCTGTTAAAATGAAATGTTGGCCCGACTTACCGAGAGTGTCGTTGTTAGCATCATTGGAGGGTACGCCTGCCTCCTGACCAGTCACGCGGCGGAAGCCGTGAGGGATTTCAGTACTCCAGTTCCAGGCGCAAGTAGTCTCGAAGTCACAACTCGTCTCAGATACGTCGGGTTTTAAACTAGAGGCCTCAAGCACGAGCACAACTAGCGCCAGGACCAACAGCATCATTCTGAAACACTGTCAGCATCCCTTCAGAAACAAAACACTGACTCACTGCGACGTCCCTAAATATTTAACAGAGCTTCATTATAACATATCGAAAAATGTAAAACAGGTCTCGCCATAGTGAGACAGCCTCAATATCATGACCCTAAAGAAAGGAACACAGCTTCAATGCGTCGCCATTAAATACAGGGTGATTCATAAAATTATACATAAATATAAGTATCGTGTTTTACTCCGAAAATCGAGCCACGGAAATTCTCCAAAAAGAGACAACGTCATTTTAGTAGCGAAATAATTTGATTTTAACATTCTAGCGTCTTAAAATTTGAATCGTTGTTGAAAATGTTCTCCGTTAGTTGAAATGCATAACTGAGTAATGTGATGTCAAGAATCCTCGTACGAGAACGTCAAACACTTGAATCTAACGCCAAAGCTCGTCCCATTTGTTGCCCGTATATTTTGCAATAATTATGCCCTAGATGGCCCCACGGGTAGAAGTCTGCAGGTGTGAGATCAGGAGATCGCGGAGGCTACAAGACCGATCAGGATTACAATTAGAAGGAGTCGTATAATGCATAAACCAAATATTCTGCCGCATTGCCAATGGTACATCATCCAGCAGCTGAGGTAATTGTCCCATTAAAGATGTAAACAGAAGGCCACTGACAGCCGAGGCGGCAGCTAGTTCGTCTCACGAGGAGATCGCCAATTATTCCCGTCCAACCATTAATTGTAAGCTGATGCCTCGTCGCTAGGCACTGTTGTCAAATCTCTCTAACAAAGTGGGCCTTTTGGTTTGATCTTAGGAGTAGAATACGGTCTACATACCCATCACATGTAATTAAGGATCTCTCTGTAATATCTACAAACCGAGGTTTAATACGTAAACGCAGAAAAAAAAAGTTGTTAGTGGAACCACGGTTCCGGATAATTTGACGTAAATACGTCTATACGGAAAGGAAGTTTATATATTGGCTTTATTCTAAATATTTCCTTTATACCCGCTTTACAATTGAGTAAAGTTTGATTAAGACTTTGCTTATTTAACTTGAATTAGTTACGCTTAAGATGGGTCTGTGGTAGCTGAATGTAATGTAATGAAATGTATGGTTAAGTTTTCTAGGTAACAACAATGCCGAGTAAAGACGACGTTCCCCAGGTAACCATTGTTATCGGATCTTACACATTTTCCTGTCACTTTTTTGCGGAATGACACTGACCCTTCCATATAGACGTATTTACGTCAGAAGATGGGAAATAATTTTTTGACGTAAATACGTCTATATGGAAGGGTCAGTGTCATTCCGCAAAAAAGTGACAGGAAAATGTGTAAGATCCGATAACAATGGTTACCTGGGGAACGTCGTCTTTACTCGGCATTGTTGTTACCTAGAACAAAAAAATAGATGTCAAATGCAGACTTTATACGACGTTCCTCAAGATATAGACGTAGATTAGCAAAGAAATGCACAGCCGAAAGGTTGCATGACGGTCTTGAGATCTATAGTAGCCGTCAACAAATTTCGTGTTTCAAGGTCCCTTACCGTGCGGCTCTGTCAGCAGCACAGTGTTGCAACCTTTGCTATGCTCCGAGTCCTGGGCTGTCTTAACACGCCTAGGCTCCGCGATTCGAGTTGCAACGTTGCACGAGTCTCCCGTGACCTCGGACGTCACTTTAGATGCGCGCGAATGAAAATATAATGACAAACTGAAAGAAAGAATGAGAGAGAAAGGGAGAGGGTGTTAAACAGACGACAGAAGGCACGACGCCATTTTGTTTTATTACATTTTTTTTTTAAAAAAATTCGAGTCCGCTCAGTTACACTCTCTGTTGAATTTTGATTGACTGATTCAAGATTATTCGACCGCAATGCTTACTCATGAATGCCGCCATTACATTACATCGAATTCAACTTGAAGCAACAGCTCTGTCTGGTTCCCCTTTAAAATATTCTCTCAGCCAAAATTTTAACACATTTCTCAGCATCTGACGGAATTGTTAAACCGCCGATACTCAGTCGGCAGAACCTCGTTTGGTAAACGCAAAAGTGGATTTGGTGTCAACACAAAGTTTCGACGTTAGGAGAGTAGACCCCAGTCACGTGTGAATATATTCAAATAATTTCTAAGTCAAAATTAATGGAAGAAACTGTAAAGGTTTTAAAAATTAACTTCATCACATAAGATGGCTGTGTTAATTTCCATATTCTTATTTGTCAGTGTCGTTAAATGTGAGAAGTACCGGGAAGTGGATCTAGACCAGTATCGAAGTATTTCGGAGATGCTGAATCAATCTTGGTACATAAATACTGGTTTTGAGCCCAGTCTCTTCCCTTATTAAGTAATTAATGAATCAATTAGTGAACAAGCGGTAAATGATTTTAATAAATATTGCAGAAATGCATCGAAATAATTATATTATCATCCGAGGTCATACAATTTTCAGATACGGTAGATTATCCGAATGTATTTTCCTGGATAATCGAATGACCGAAAAATCCACATAAATAATATAATATAACAAATACGTAAGTTTATTTACAGATATACACTACTTAAATTTCTGAATAAAGAATTTTGTACAACATTTAACACAGTACAAACAAACATTCTTTAAAATAAGATTCCAAAGGATAATAATAACGTTTTATTATCGTAAAATTCAGCTTTTAGCAGCAACTGGTTTGTGTTAATGCGTTATATGGCGTCATTTTATCTATTTTTAAAAGTTTTAACTTTTACAATACATTTGCTAAATTATTTTTTTACAGACCACGGTTAAACCGGAGTCTAAGGTTAAATAAATTATTGAAAATAAGTAGATTAAATACAAATTATTTTTTTTTTCAAATCTATTAACAATGTAACCCGTTACTACACCTGGTTTGAACCGAGCAGATCTACTGAAAAGAATTCCTGCACAGGCTGCCATAATCAATGGATTCTTATCGGACCTCCGGACAATTAGCAACCGGATTTCCTGGAAACAGCGAGGCGCATAGCTACCACACCCCAATAGTATTCTGTACGTTTGCCCTTTTACCCACGTTCGTAGTTACGTTGGGCGGAGGACTGTAATTGTTGAAAGATCCGACACAGCTTCGCGAGATAGTTTAACAAAGTCACTGGCATTGATCTTGCAGGCTACATTGGGAGAAAATCAATGGTTGGCTATCTTATTATAAAACCACTGCACAAACAACGTTTTATGGTTGTGTATAATCTAAAAAAGGTTTCAATTAAAAATTATATCTCTTAACAAGAAACGTATTTTGGACAATAATTATTTGTGTGACGAGACGTTTACGAGAAACTGGATAAAGTGTGAATATGGCTGCCTTCTAGGTTGTTGGGCCGTGTAGTCTGAGAGCCTGTCGACGTTTCAGAACTGCTTGCTGCCTCCATCATGAGGGCGAAACGATCGCCCTGATGCTGCCTCCAAACACCCATTAAATATTATCGAAATTTATTTATAGTTTCGCTGATGAAACATGCAGGCACGCTATGACGTAGACCTTCATATCATGCGTTCATTTTATGCAAAACACGAATAAACTACAAGTGACACTCCTCATAAAGGGTTCGCGATTTTAATCTCGATCCAGTATAGCAGAACTGACTGATGGCTTCCGCCATTTTCATAATTCAGTCCTGGCGAATGATGGTGCAATTTCTGGAAACATCTTTCTCAATTCAGCGTTATTCCATAAACTTACAGTCACTTCCCTTGAATTCAATGTCGGACAAAAATGAAACTCACCTCTCATTTTTGTTGATATCCTCTCACAGTTCATAATCATCCTGTGATTTCCAATTCGACGCTATGAAACTTAATCTGTTGACACGTCAATAAATACGCCAACATAAAAGACACATCACAACGAAAAGCAGTCTAAATTACGCAGCTATCAAGCTTCGATTTGCTACTCGACCACTAAACTGGCTCCAGACACAAACACTATAAATTTCAGCACGGAAATATTTATCATGGAACTAGGTCCGCAGGGATCGGGTGACTGAGGCGTTGTTTACGTCTCCACAAGAGCCAAGGTTTAACGTTTCATACGCAACGAACCGGACATCACAACAAAAAGAAACTTATGTTGTTTCTTCTCTTTCAATACACAAAATACTTGTCTTTTCACGTAATGTAAAAGGCATCTCCCTTCATATCACTATCCACAAAGATGTCGTCCACGCGTTACCAACATCAACAACATTTATTTACCTGTAAATAAGTGACCCGTTTTAGGCTGGGGAAATTTGCTGCCGGCAACTTCACCCAACTCGATGTAACTCCATTACGAGATGGACCTGGTCACACGATACGTATTCAAGAACTTACAACTTATGCGGGGAGGGGAGGGGGTGGAGGAGAGACCGTTGACCTTGACAACCAAAACACACAGCCTTCATTTGTTTCCAGTGTCACAACTCAGTTCAGTGTGTGGCTTTGATCAGGCAAGATGGGTCTCACACTGGCCAAGTCGTTTGAAAGCAAGTCGTGTTCCCTTTTGGGCAAGTTCGCTTCAAAAATGTACAAATGTCATATCACTAAGCTTGTAAACGTTCACAATAAGAAATACCGTCAAAACAAATCACTTCTTTTCAGTGTTCTTCTCAATACCAGAAAAAGAAAGCAGCTGTTCTCACACAAAACAATAAACTGAATAGTCAAGTATCAGTACACAGTTTTAAAGTTGTTATTTAAGTCATTTCAAGTCAAATGAAAGTTATACTGGTTCTGCTCTACTCTAAACTTGAAAGTGACCTTTCAGTAGACATGAAAAGTACCTGAAACAATTCACATCTATCAAGTCGTATCGAGTTTTTGTTTTCAAGCAAATTATTTGTGGAGTGCCACTGTGCTTAGTAACAGCACGCCGGAAGATATAAGGCTCATTTTCTTACGTTCCCCCTCTTAATAGCTGAGAAAACTGTCCTAAAGGACATTGGGTAGTGCACATAAGGCGACAAAACTGCTCTCTAAAGATTTAATTTGTAACTAAATTCGAGTGTCACACAATATTTAATTCCCGAATAAAACATGATTCCATTTAAACGTCTAGTGAATAACTTAAAGACCTTGTTATGGAACGATTTGCTGATGGCTGATAATCGCGGTTCGTGGTTTCAAAAAAGACCGGGCTAGCTGCTGTACTGTGGGAACAAGAACGGCATTACTGCTAGAATTTTCTTTTCACAGGGGGGCTGCAACCCCAAAATCCCAAACACTTCTTTTAGGGGGTCATCTCAAAGAATTTGCGTCCGAAAATAATACCACAGCACAAACGAATTTAAAAACAAACAACGAAGATGCAATTTCAGGTATCGATCACAATTTTTCGTAGGGTTGCAAGGAATGCAGTTAAACGAGTTGATGCCTGTAATCAGGAGAGTGACGGCCAAGTTCAACACCCATTTTAAAAAAATAGGGTAAATTGTAGCTGTATTGAACTGTAGTGTATACAATTATATTATGAAGTCGGATTACGTTTTAAAACGAACATACAATAAATAATGTTCCAAGTACCAAGTAATTGCAGAGAAAAAAATCATGGTTATTTAAAGGCAAGTTCAAAACAGTGAAAACGTAAAATAACACGAACAAAGAAAAACACGTCTACACAAAACATCACAGATATCTAGTCAAATTTTATTAATTTAGTGTAAAAAAACTGCTATATTCTTCAATAACGATAAATTAAACAAACTAAATATTACATTTTAAGTGTTTAACTGTTATCGGAGCGAATCATTGCAACTTTTCTTTTTTTATTTTATGAAATGTTAACGTAATCTCTTTTCTTTTCTCTCGAAGACTTGCCATATTTCCCCCACGTTAGTTAATACTCACAAAAACACCCTTTTATCAAATATATATAAGTCTGAAGACAATGCATAGAACGTAATACGTACGTATCTTTGAATTCTATAGCTGTCTATAAGATACTTGTACGTAAGACGATAACCAGGGCCAAGAGCTGCTGCTCTGGTGCACAAATTTCATGTCAATCCGCCTTCTGGCAGCGCCGCTGTTATAAATGGACCCCATATCGAGGAGTCCCAGTACAAGTGCACTTAAGAATGAAATAGACCATTCACGCCACACAATTACCGTATGTTTACGAATTGTGCAAAATCACAAATCTCTTGTGACGTCGCAATAAGGTTAAAGGTCAATACGGAACCCGGCAGTGTGATACAATCAATACGTATGCAAGTTTTTCTTCAGGCACACTGTAAAGTAGGTGGGGCACTCACCCCAGGTGTCCTAGCGGTCCAGCAGTGATGTCATGGTCCCATCGCACCGGCAGAAACACGCACGTCCAAGTCCTGCTCCGTATTTCTGGGACGATAAAACACTCACTGATTTGCAGAGCTCCCGGGGGTTTCACGGGCTGCCAAGATGCGCTGCACGCAGAGGGCTCTAGCGGGATGCTGAGGAACTATGCCTTCAACTTTCGTCTGTGGGGGGGAAAAAGGATTACAGATTGCGCCCAATTATAATGATTTTGTTAAAACAATTACCGCAACGCCGGTAAATAAGCGTTTTATGACGTTGCATCAACTGCGATCGTTAACGTCAGTATGAATGATGAAGTAAGTAGATTCGAAAAACCTTGTGGTCCATTTTAAGCTATCCGACTGTTCCCTGAAGGAATTGGAAATAACAACGGGAGAATCCGTGCATACTAAGCAAAATAACTTCTAACAGCGACGTTTCGGTTCAGCCACGTCTCATGTAGACTGCAACATAACTGACGGATTATTTATCAGGACTCATTTTTAGATTAATTTCGAGTCAAATAAGATGAGAAAAAGACGATAGTGACTTGTTTCAAAATAGTCATGACGTCATTCGCCTATAGTAACTGAATAAGACCACTATACTTGAGAATTTCCGAGGTTTGAACTTGTAGGTACCGACTAAAAATCAGCTATTTTAATACTCGAGATAACTTAGTCTCATGGATTTGCATTCGTTTTAAACGTGTTAGTCCGGCTAACAATCTAAAAAAGGAAATTAAAGCCTTCTGTTATTATTTTGTGGTTCAGTGGTACTCAATACATTTACCCGCAACAGAACCGATCAGATTACACTCATCGTTAACTAGCTAGAGCCAGCCGAGCGCTCGCCATGAGAGCAAACCTAACAATAATAAAAGTTCCGATTCGAATCCAATGGACGTGTTGACCTATCGGACACTAACATCACAGTGCTGTATGACTAAATCAGGTTCCGTTCTGGAAATTGACTTAACAGTTTCAGAATTGTCTTTACTGTTTACAAGTCCAAAACTGAGAGACATACGTGGACTACACCTCACAGGTTGTAGATTCTAATCTCTCCAACAGCTGCTGAAAATTACCTTAAAATCGAACATTCTCCTGTAGACCATCAACTAACCAAACACTAATTTACTTCCGTGAACAGTGGGCCAGGGGACAGAAGAGAGGAGTTCAATGTTGACGTAAGCACTTTACTGTCATCTACCGCCTAGGATGCCAACTACATACATACAGCCTCACTGGCTCCATGGAATATTATGTTGCTTTCTTTACACGGTTACCATCGGCGACCAAAAAAATTGTTCTCATAACCACAGGGGACTTCGGGTACATATGAGCACTGTAGATAAGAGAATTAGTTTTTGTTTTGTCTGTAACCAGTGGAATTTTACCTTGCTTGTGTAAAAATTATACAATAGACTATAATATATTTTCTCGGATAATCGAAACCCTCGGTAATCAGCAGAAATGAAATAAAAACACGCAAAATAGTAAGATTATTTAGATAAATACACTACTTATATTTTAGAGAAAGAAAGGGAAGGATTTTAAGTAAAATGTAACACAATACTAACCAACAATTAAAAAGAAAAAAGAATTCCAGCGGATAGTAACAATGTTATATTATCGTAAACTTTAAGTTTTAGTAACAATTGGTCAATGTTTAAGCGTTAAATAAAAATTCAAAACATTCACTTGGACAGACTACGGAAAACTATGAAACCCACTAAAGGTATAATTACCGAATTCAAATACTACACTACATTAGTATGAATTGTAATATACACGGTTATTCATAATTCCCTGATATTTTTATTTTAGTGTTCTGTCTGACGACAGGTCCATATGAACAGGATCCTTCCATCCTTTTCTCGGACTGGGACCTGTTCATATACGTTCTCGGCAGATGATCCAGAAGTGGTTTGCCATTGCCTTCTTCTGTGTGTGAATGGAGTAATTGTTGGGATGCCACGGAGGAAAACTCCGTGTTGCCTAGACCACGCCCTTGCCAAACACAAGTTATAAATTCGGGCACCACCGGGAATCGAACCCGAGACCCCAGGATTACAAGCCCAGCGTTCTAACCGCTAGACAATAAGAAATGATAATTTGGTAAAAGACATAATTTTAAGTTCAGCGGGTTCTGAACATATTTGTGTCTAAACGTCGACGTTCAGCGATTAGAGATTTTATTTCGTATGTCATTGCTTCAAATCTAGATCCGAGCGTGGTTATTCAGAATTTATGAGGTATGTAAAATAAACTTGGAGAGTTTCTCTTTTTATCGGCATGTCCTATGTTACCATCCATTGCTCCATTCAAATCTAGCGATTTTTTGTAATGTGTCAGGGAATTACGAATAACCCTGTATAATGTATTGTATTATTACGACTTATTTCACATCTGACTAATTTATGGATCCATGGAATGTAATAAAGGTTTGTGTATGTATGTACGTATGCATGTGCATTGCTTGGCCTTGTATTAATGATCGATAGAAATACAAAAAGCAACGTTTATTTTGTTACCCATAAACAGTACAATAAAAAATATGATAAATATTAGCTCATGAAATATAAGTGGACTATTTCTTCAAGGGAAGTATTTTAGTTTATACATAAAATTGCAGCATGCAACTTTTTATAAGAGCATATAAATCACATGTAGCAACCAGTCAGTGTTATCACAATCAAGAACTTCTGTCAGATCAATCAGCATACAGCCCATATATGAAGGTATAGGAATACAACGCTAAAATAGAAAACAGTTAGAACTTTCATAAAGTCAAAGTAAATTATAAACAGACTTGTAACATACTTCTCAAAAACAGTTCACTGTAGTTCGAGATATATCATTTATTTTACATACCTCATAAATGCTCTGTATGTCCGCCCTTTGTGACGCGGCAGACGTCAAACCGATAATCGATTTCCGCCCACACCCGCTGCAGCATGTCACGATCGATTTGTGAGATGGCAGCCATGATTCGTCTTCGCAGCTCAGGCAGATCCCATGGCATAGGCGGTACAAAGACCTAGTCCTTAACGTACCACCATAAGAAGAAATCGCGTGGCGTCAGGTCAGGTGATCGGGGTGGCCAACGAAACAGTGCGTGGTTATTCAGAATTTATGAGGTATGTAAAATAAACTTGGAGAGTTTCTCTTTTTATCGGCATGTCCTATGTTACCATCCATTGCTCCATTCAAATCTAGCGATTTTTTGTAATGTGTCAGGGAATTACGAATAACCCTGTATAATGTATTGTATTATTACGACTTATTTCACATCTGACTAATTTATGGATCCATGGAATGTAATAAAGGTTTGTGTATGTATGTACGTATGCATGTGCATTGCTTGGCCTTGTATTAATGATCGATAGAAATACAAAAAGCAACGTTTATTTTGTTACCCATAAACAGTACAATAAAAAATATGATAAATATTAGCTCATGAAATATAAGTGGACTATTTCTTCAAGGGAAGTATTTTAGTTTATACATAAAATTGCAGCATGCAACTTTTTATAAGAGCATATAAATCACATGTAGCAACCAGTCAGTGTTATCACAATCAAGAACTTCTGTCAGATCAATCAGCATACAGCCCATATATGAAGGTATAGGAATACAACGCTAAAATAGAAAACAGTTAGAACTTTCATAAAGTCAAAGTAAATTATAAACAGACTTGTAACATACTTCTCAAAAACAGTTCACTGTAGTTCGAGATATATAGAGCGTCTTATAACGTTTGCTAGAGAGCATATCTTCTATGGTATATCCTTACAATAGTGCCCAGTGACTGGAAGGAATGCAAGCCAAGCAGTTACTCCATATTTCTACTGGATTTCCATAGCGTCTATGGTCACAAAGCTGAATCCATAACTCTTAAACAGAACTAGCTTTCCTTACGTATCATGACAGAGTAGAAACCACATTTCCTTGATTTTAAGATGCCATAAATTACAATACACACCTTGCATTATTAATAGGTTCACGAGAAAAAAGATGCTATATTAATTCTTAGATGCCATGAGATGTAGGACACACCCTAATTTCGTGAATTTTAAAATGTGAAGTGTCTTAAAATTCAGGAAATACAGTATATCTTCTCGTTTTGTCTTTTACCTCAAGACGAGAGAAAGAACAAGCCTCCAAAACATTCTAGACAATGTTCAGGGCATCATACACTTTTACATGACAGTACCATCATTCAACTATGTAATCATTTAGACATTTTGACATAGTTACAATAGTTATTCAGACACAACTGCTTTACCTCAAGGAAAGCGCCCCTTGTACTCGCTGGCAGAGCCCGAGTCTTGATACGTACATGGAGATAAAATAGAAAAATCCTGCCCCTACTGGTAACCATTCATTTTACTGTCTCTAACTGTGGTCTGTGCTGTCCCAGCTTCTTAGATACTTCTAGGTTTGATAAAACTCAAATTCTGGCACAAATTGTATGGTAATGTCTTCATGAGGTTGCAAGCCAAAGGGATTCATAAACATGGTCCTATATACCAAAGTTTTTCCTTCTTTAATAGTATTTTAAAAAGTATTTCTTGTAAATAAAAAATACATCGACACCCATTTCTGGAAAGCATCTAATGCAATGTGCTTTACCCTAACGGGTTATATGCACTAACCTGCATAAATAATGCTCAATAATTCATAACAAATTATGTAAAGTTCGTAATTGTAGGGCCAAATGTTCCTGAAAATTAATATAACAATAAATTTGTAACAAAATAAATATAGTTGGGCCCTGAAAGATTAGAAGTGCATATTAGTACTTGCCATGACTTTCTTCTGTGGATTATTTTTGCAACGAAACAAGAACGCAGGTTCTGTTGGATCCCACATTATCTCGTATCATGCTTGTTCTTTTACGTGCCATAAATCTACATCAGACCGCCGGCTTTACTTCGCCTCCGAAGGAAGTTGTGCTAGGGACTTTTATCACCCTTAAAAATCCATCGACCTCGGCTGGGATTCTACCCGCGGAACTTGGGTCCGGTGGCAAGCACGCTAACCACTAGTCCACCGACGGTGACAACCATTTAAAGTATTACCAGTAAAGTTTGCATCAAATAAGAACAAACATGACACTCTTCAGTCTGCAGCACGACTTCCCAGGATGTATACGTCATAGGGACCGCCTTAATTCTTGCGTACAGTACTCTCACTGAGCCAATAACATCATGAGACATCAGATGAATGTGTGCATTACTAAAAAAATGGTTATCAGAATGGAGAAACATGAAATAAGAACAGATTTTATATATAAGGCACAACCTCCAAGGCTCCTGCTCACTTATAGTAAGTAAAAATTACCCTAAGAAGACACAACAGTTCAACCACGAAACATTCAGTTAAAAATAATTCTGATGGGGTTAATCCCTCAAGGGAACAGGAAAGAGAGAATGCATTTCACAATTTTACAAAACATACTGGGACATAAGGAACAGAATAAAAAGGAAAAATAAAAACAAAAACTCATATATACAAAAGGAAATAATCTTGTTTACAAATTAAAACTCGTACTTAAGGTACCGAGCATAAGTAACTACAAACAACAACAAGTACAGAGGTAAAAAATTGAAATACTAACAATTGTCATGCAGTCCAAAGAAGGAAATCTACTTTTCCAGAGGTTCTTCTTTTTCTGTAACAGAGGCCATCGCTCGGAAAGCGATCCCACGCTTCGGACTGAGCGAATAGCCGAGCTTTATGATGTGGTGGAAACAACAGCACTGAGGATTTCTGACACGGCGTGAAGTACGTTATCCAAAACAAAGATGTAAGACAGTAATATGAACACAAGATTCGGAGGAAGCTCAATCCAGCAAGCTGCTTCTAATAATCACTAATTTTCAAAAACACATAAGAAATCTGATACTCTATGGTACCTTATACATCCATCAAGTGTTCTCACGATGACAAAACAACGGAGATTATCCACCATTCTTGCGTCACATACAAAAAAATTGTACCCTTCAGTGCCGACTGAATTGTTCATTCCCCAGTACATAGGAAGTTAAGATAATTTTATTGTTTTAATGGAGCAAATTTAATTCATTTCAGGAAGGTCTTGTAGTGCTTGGCAGTGAGTCATGCAGTTCCAGCTTGAAGCTGGGAAGTGACAGTTGCATTCAACTTTACCGGTGAATGCACCGTATTTTTATGTCACAGAGGAATACGTTGCAGCCTCTGTTTCAAGTGTCCAGTTTTTAATGATGCAGACAAAACTTAAGACTGGAGAGTAGATTGAAGTCCAGGCTATTACGTTAAAAATTAAAAATCCGCGGCGTAACAGCTCCAGAGAGCCAAAGTTGACTAGCTTGACTGCTGGCGTCATGTTCACGTGCCTAAGCAGAGGTGAACGATCATCCAACCAGATATAGGGTGACGTGCGGTCAGCACGATGAACCCTAGGCATTGGTAGTTTTCATGACCAGATTACGCTACTCATTGTAGCTCCCCAATTTCCTCACGATGCTGGGTTGGCACCGGTCGAAAATCTCATGAGAAATTTCTTTCCCCGAGACTCAAACCAGCGCGCATTCCGTATCGCCGGTCCGAAGCACGACGCCTTACACCACGCGACTACAGCGCGGGACAGGCTATTACATTACTTCCTGATTAAGTGCCAAATTCAGAAACACGTGTTCTTGACTCTGCAATATTGGCTGCTCCAGCATCACACAGAGATACAGAATGAAAATATCCTCACTGAAGAGTAATGGTTATGCCCTGTGACGGTTCACAGCCCAACTGACCTAGTGCAGTTCCAATCTGCTGTATGTGTGTTCTGGGGGCATCACCTGGTCCAGTGATAAAACAAAAATTTCCCTCTAAACTTTCAGACTAGTGACTTTAAATGCAGAATGTCATGGAACAAATTCACTGAGTATGATGTCAATATTTTAATAACTGTACTTATAGTTCTATGTTTTGTTTCAATTTCCATAAATGTAATAAATCCCAATAAAAGAGTTTTTCAGCTTCAGTCCATAGCAATGATATTATTTATCTCCACCAGCCAGAAGCTACTGCGCTGATGTGTTGTCGGTACAGAACATATAGCGGTGATGACAAAATATCAGAAGTAGTTCAAATATACCAGCACATGAAACTATGGGATGTCACTACCTCAGAGGTAGATATTTTGGCAGCTAAAACTCAATCGTGTTTGCTTAAAACGTTGCGTATCTTACAGAATAAATTTTATACTTCTCAAAATCAAACTCTCGTGTTTCTGCGTAGAATTAGTGATTAATAGAACACAGCATGCCCACCACAATGCCTTAGGAGTACAACGTTTTCTCCACCCACTCCTCCAGTGTGAACGTCGCCGTGTTGGTATTGTCAGGATCCCTCTCATGGAAGATATCTGCAACAAAGTCACATTTCGGCCGAATCGTCAGACAATTCCAGGTGAGATTTTATGTTCTCGTAGTGGCAAGTACAAAGATGACTGTATTCTGAGATGTTCTGCTGTGTAGTCTGGTAGATGTTTATCAATGTTTCAGAGGTGCTTACTGCCTCCATCATCAGGGTGATGAGTAAGCTGTACACGAGGAAATTGTTTGGGATATGGAAACCAGACAGAAAAAAGGTATAACTTTGAACCCTGAGTTGGTCGAATTGGTTTCCACATCCGAAAACAATTCTTTGCGTGCAGTTTATTCATTGTCTTGACAGAGGCAGCAGGGACCTCTGAAATGTTTATAAGGTTCTTACAGATGCAACATCATAGAAGACAGTCATATTTATTAGACAATCCAGTTTGCATGCTCACATTGCACTTTCCTGTAACTTCAAAATAATAATCATTCCATCTCTGCCTTGGTCTTCCTATTGGTTGATTTCAACAGTTCCCAACAATCATCACGAACTTACACTCATCATTTCCCACATATGAGATACATATTCTGTCCAATTTTAAAAATCCATCTTGAAGCGTACTTACAAATTCCGAACAGTTCTGTTTCTACATGTTTTGCCTTCAGACTGACAGTACAGAAAATACATTTCCTTTGAACAACATTTTGGAGCAAATTACGTTAATATTATAAAATATTCAAAACAGTTACATTTTTTATGGAAATTGAGTGAAGAATAAACACTTGAACTATCAATTTTTCTCTGACTTACAGTTACAAAGCCATTTCTTGTGAAATATTTTCATGGCACAAATAATTGATACAAATGTTATAATTCAGCAATTTCATTAGTATTTTTAAATACATAAAAATAATCATTTGAAATTTATTCGTTTTTCTTCTTTGACTTACAAATTAGGGTTTTCTTGTAAACATGGTTTTGAAGAGGCTCTGTGTGCCCAATGTTACAAACCCAGTTATTTTGTGAAAGTATGTAGATATGAATAAACATGTTTCTTTCTGACGAAACAAAAATTACTGTGCACATATTTTTAAGCACTTTTTTCCAAAATATAGGCATACTCAACTCACCAATCATGGCTTTCAACCTAACAGCACACATCATGTAGTCATCAAATGTGATCATGCCATTCTTGGTACTGTAGCGATGTGCAAGTATGTTGAGGACATGGTTGTTAAGGCGATAACCGGCCGAATTGAGGGCCTGACGCAGCTCGAAGGCGCTGAGACAGCCAGAGCCATCTTTGTCATACAGTTTGAATACAGCCTGAAATGTCAACAGAATAGGCAATGAGGTCATTTTCAACTTTAAGACTCACTTCCACAAAGATCAAAAACCATAATCAAAAATGTCCTGTGAGAGGTTAGAAGTCCTTAAAGAAAGGAATGAATCTCAAGATAGCGAAGAGTGGAATAATTCATGGTTATGAAATATAAGAATGGGAAATATATGTAAATGAAAACCCCCCAAAAATTACTTGTAACAAATGGCTGCAAATTTCACATTTACCTGCAAATTTCATGCTTACAACTAGAACTCTGCTCTTGTTTGTCTGTTTCCATAGCCCGCACTTTTATAGGGAATTTTGAAAAATCAGAAATAAATAACAAACATTATCTCTGAGTTTATTATGTCTTAACATTGCAACTGGATTATGGGCTTAAAATTAATTTGATGTAAAACATTATGTATTAAAGGTTCAAAATGTTAAGGATCTATCATTTCTGCAATCTGCATGACTAGAAATCAGACTTATAAATGCAAATCAGAACATGATTTTACTTAGGAACTGGGTGAATTGTAAAATACAAAATGGGATTCTATAATAGTAAGTAAAATACAAAGTTTGTTAATTTTATTCTGTCCAGTGAGGGGAGATGAAGTTGAGATCTAGCTGTGGGTTTTATTACTCTAGGTTAAATTAACTTGTGATCTTCAAAATTAGCTTCAATCCTTGTAGAAGATGAGGAGCCAAAATAAGAAGAAATGTCTAAGACCTCATACTACCAGAGGCTGCCACTAAAATGTGCATAAAAATGATCTTAATGCAAAAGATCTCAAGAAGCTTAAATAATGAATTCTACATTTTAAATAAGCTTTGAATATAAAATTTAATAATATCTTTGTGTCATAAATTATGGGCCTGACTTGGGCATTCAACATGAAGCCTAACTGTTGAGCTTATCTTCTGTAAATATCATTATTACTTAAAAACAAAGGAATATGAATGTGTACTGTTAATAATTTTACCTTCCAGTGTCGAATGTCAACCCACAGGGCTTTAAATTCTTCAAAGCCAAGTTTGCCAGATCGGTCCACATCCATCATAGCGACCATGCTTCTACAGACATCTTTTGAGAAGCCTTCATTCTTCGTTTCTGATTGGACAACAGAAGAAAATTGTATCGTGTTCAATCAAGGTTAATAACATAGTAATGCGAAATGAAATGTTTTTATGATATTCAGCCATATTTATGACAAGTTATTAACATTTTGTTTATAACCTTGAATAACAAATGCATATTCTGGTTAAGTTTTTCTGATTATCTGGATGATGGAACTTTCATATTTGTTTTTATCAACTTACGGCAGTTTCAAAACTCAGTACTTTGGTAAACTAAAGAAAGATTCCAATATTGCATGAAGCAAATTTTAAGACAGCACCTTAAAAACTGATGATGATTGCTTTCTTCCCTCCATATCCTCATTAGATAATCATTCATTACCATTATTGTATTGTATGCCAGTACTGTCTGGCTGCCAACTGGACTTAACTCTAAGGTTAACAGATTATTGGTATGCTACTGTATAACCCACCTCCTTGATATGTCATTATGAAATAACAATGTAATAAAACTGAGTGATTATTTCCCAGACACTAGCCACCATTCCTGAAAACAAATATGAAGTTCCAGTATGTGATTAAAAGTCTATAACATGTGACTTTACCTGTGACTGTGTTCAGAGTGAAAATCTACGAGACAGGTTTTAATGACAGTCCTAAGAACACATATACACAAATATTTAGTCAAATTAGTGCAAAATAATGCAATGTTTTAGTTATATGGCACTGCAGGCTGTTACACTAACCGACAAATATCGAGCAAAATATGAAGAAACAAAAAATACTGTTATATATTATTTTATTTAGCATAAAGTTAATTGGAACTTAACCTATGTCCATGGGGTGCAAAATTCTAGCATAACACCTCATTTTGTGGACAAACAAGGCTAAAATCCCACAATGAACTGCCTGTCACAACAGCAGTTGACTCACCAACCAACCAAATTACTCTATAGGACAGGACTTTACTGTAGCCCAACAGTTGACAGTTACTTAAATTCTCAAAAAATTGAAACTATAAAGCCAAAAAATGCTATCTTGAGCCAGCACATATTCACAACCCATTGTCCTAAAATCAATTTCAATATTGTCCTCATTTATGATTCAGTTTCCCAAC